GAAAGAGAGGGGAGAAGAGAGAAAAGTTTTAAATTTGAATCCAAAAGGAAGCAAGGGGGAAACAAATTTTTAAAATTTTGTTTTATCAAGTCAACTTATCTTGCTACTTTCTCCCCCGATCAAATAAAGAGAAACACGTCGATATGTGTTTTTTTTCCCTCTCTCTCTATGGTCTTTTCTTTCGGTTAAACATAGCATGTGCATGAAGAGGACTTGGATATACGGTTTAATTTTACTTGATCTAGGGCTTGGAGCTAAATGGCATGTGTTAATCCAGATTTCTGTGACGTTTAACAGAACTTGGGGCTTGTATTGAATATTGATCAAATATTAGTCGATTTAGTTCTGAGTTCATGGTACTTTTACAGGTTGTCTGTTGAGAAATATCCGACAAGTCCTATGCTTGGTCAACGGGAAATCGTCGATGGGAAGGTAAAATCTCGTAAACCGATCCACTCTTGCCATTACTCGTAAATGAACATTTTTTTTAATGATTTTCTATAGGCTGGCAAGTACACGTGGCTAACATACAAAGAGGTATATGATCTGGTGATTAAAATTGGAAATTCTATCCGCAGCTGTGGTTATGGAGAAGTAAGTCAGCTATGTCTTTCTTACCAGAAATTGAAACTTTTTTTTTTTCACAGTTGTTTTCCATAGTATTGTTATGTTATTACAAATTCTTGGATTCACAGTACATGTTGCACTGTTCACTTATTCATTATTTATAAGCTACATTGATGTGTGCTTTACATGGTTTCATGCCATTGACAAATTTCAAACAACATATGTTCTTGATAATATTGCTATCTGCATACACATGAATAGCTTAGTAATGAATCACAAACATGGCCCCATGAGTTTAAGTGCTTGGCTCTTTGGAACATATTTCTTTTTGCACCTAAATTTGCACATTGGGTCCCTGTTTTATGATTTTGACTTTTCATTTTTGCATGTTTATTTGTAGTTTCTAGCAATTTATTCCTTTCAGCTTAATTCATATATTGCTGGTTTGCAGGGTGTAAAATGTGGTATTTATGGTGCCAATTGTGCAGAATGGATTATGAGCATGGAGGTACATTTTTTTTATTTTTTATTTTTATAATTTCCTCCCCCATTGTCGTCTTCTGAGTTTGTTCCACCTTAATGTTGCTGCTCACTCTATTGTTGGAGGTTTCTATTGTATTTATATATATGTTGATGTCTGCTACTATTTATTGTTATTTTTGTGTCTACTATATTGTTTCTTTGGTAGTTGGATGTTTATAGTCCTTATTGAGCTAAATGGAGTATCAGTTATTTTTTTGAGTTTTTTCCATCTTGATTTTTCTGCTCACTCTATATGTTGAGGTTTCTGTTGTATTTATATGTTAATGTTTGCTTTTATTTGTGCTGAATATTTGTTGTTACTTCTACTGTATTGTTTCTTTGGTAATTGGCTGTTTAAAATCCATAATTCTTATTGGGCTTAAAGGACAATGAGGTATTTCTGGATTGAAGCTTTGTTTCCTTTATTGAATATCTACACTCTGCAGAGAGTTCCACTTCTTTTAATTGTTGCTCTATGCTTATGTTGTGCCAGTGTTGGGTATCCCTGCTAATCTAACATTGATGTTGCTCAACTAGCTTTCTTCCACTCAATGATTTTTTTAACATATTGCCAAATAATTGCAGGCCTGCAATGCTCATGGACTTTATTGTGTTCCTTTATATGATACCTTGGGTATGTTCACAGCTTCATTGGCATGTTTTTACACCATGGTGATGCGTATACTCAATTGCAATCAAAATTTGCTTTCCAAATCTATTGTACACAAGACTTGCTACTATCAAGGAACAGTAATCCCAAAAACTATGATGTTGTGTGAAAATTTACAACATTTATGGCCACGTGACATTTTTTATTTTGTAACTTTTACCAACTAATATGTTCACTAGTTTATAAACTCTCGAAAAACTTACCTGTTTTATGTACAAAATAACATCTTTTTGAAAATTATGCAGGTGCTAAAATGAAGCATCTATTGATAACTTTTGTGTCTATTTTATATTTTATATTTTTATTTTGTAATTTTTTCTCAACAAATAAGTAATTTACTAGTCTGTACTCTCTTCGAGATTCTCACCCAATTTATGAACAAAATCCTTTTGGAAAATAATGCAAGTAAAGAACTTACCCCAAAATCTGTCACTTACCTAAAATTGGGATAACTTTTCTAACAACAATGATTATTTTTTAAAAAAAAATTATGGCCATGCAGTAAATCCAAGTGTTGCATCTATAATTACTCTTTGTTTTTCAAAATTTAAACTGATAGTTATCATTTGCTTTGACACTCTCATTCATATGACATAGGTGCTGGGGCTGTAGAGTTTATTATATGCCATGCAGAGGTCTCAATCGCATTTGTAGAAGAAAAGAAGATACCTGAGGTTGTCCTGTCGAAATGCTGTTTTATAGCAGTTTAATTGTTAGGAAGGATTAGGGTTGTATACAATCTTTAGTTAACTGTCAGCGTTACCCATATATATGTTTCTGGAACTTTTCAGCTATTGAAGACATTTCCAAAAGCAACAGAGTGTCTCAGGAGTAAGTTTTGTTGATTCTCTGCTTTCTTTCCTAAACTGCTTATGCATTAAAAAGAAGCATTCATTTTTTTATGTCTGTTGCAGCAATTGTAAGCTTTGGAAAGGTTACCCCTGAACAAAAGCAAGAAGTTGAAAAGTTCGGGTTGGCAATATATTCATGGGATGAATTTTTACAAGTGGTGGGTTATTTGTGTACTATTACTCTTTTATATTCTACAAGTTGTAAGATAGAAATGAAAGCTGCTGCATCTATAATTACTTGGCATTAACTGTAATTACCACACAGAAAAAAGCTTGTAGCACAAGCTCAATGCACCGGCAGTTGCCA